CCGATGTCACGGTCGGTAGCTCTCACCTGGACCACAGCAGTCCCCCCGCCCACATTCTGGGAAGAGAGTAGCAAAGTGGTTATTTTGGATTCAAGGCCTTTGGGGCAACATGTAGCACTTACTCCTGGGAGCCCAAGGACTTTCCATGGTGCTCCTGCAAGCTTTGCTCTGCCTTCCTGGAGCAATTATGAGGATGACAAGGAGAAGATGGTGAATATCCCATGGGCACCTGCTACATGCTAGGTCCTACAGTACCTGCATCACCGCCCTCTACAACTCTACCAGTCAGGTACTGGTATCATCCCCATTTATGGATGGTAAAACGTACAGGGAATGACTGTGTGCAAGTCCACCCAGGGAGGCCAGTGGACTGAACCAAGGGACTCTCCCTTATACCATCCCATCTTCATGGACATGCCACCTGGCATGATACCCAAAGATGCCAGGGCTAGTGTTCTCCTAAAGTGGCTCAACTTCAAGACTGGGTAATAAATACATTTTTGAAAAGGCAACTCTTCCAGGGTAAACCTGAGTGTTCCGTTGGGTAAAAGACAGTGTTGCTCATTTCTTCTCTCTTCGTTTCTTCCCGATCACAAAAAGATACTGAGTCTTGGACTTAGGCTAGGTATTAGGGGCATCTGTAAGTATGCATGTTTGAGACCACAGGGCCTGGTGGGCCAGGTAGACATGGAAGCAGGTGCCTCCCCGTTGGCTCTCACCCACTGTCCACCTAGATGTCCAGCTACACGGTGCCAGAGCTGCCCTCACCTCGTTCACACTGACATTGTATCCAAAGGGACTCTCGATCACTGGAGGGTTGTCATTGACGTCCAGGATGGTCACCTGCAGGATGTGGTCCTTCTTCCGTGGAGGGGTACCACAATCGGAAGCCACAACCTGTGAGGAGGTATGGACTAGAGTCAGGGCTAAGGGCAAGGGGAGGATCAGGAACATGGAGTCTACAGGGCTGTCCACTGGCAGGCAGGACTTGGAAGGGCTGAGAGACTCACTGATCCACCCCTGACCTGGGGGTCCTGGCCTCCCTGGGCTCTGCCCACAGCTTTCACCTCTGCCCCTGCTCAAATAGTCATTGTTCAATTCTTGTCTGGCTCAGGAACCTTATTTGGAATCTGAGTACCCACATCTTTACTTCCTGACCTGACCTGACTGTATTTCTGGGGTGTACCATCCTTGACCATGACCCTGGGCCTGCAGCCTGACCCAGAGCTCCTGCCTTTAGCCTCCAAAGCTTCTATTCCCTTCACTCAGATCCAATCTTTCCAGCAACGAGCTGAGTCCAACCACAGGCAGAGCCTGCCTGAAAGCTTCAGTGCTTCCAGATGGCCTCAGGCCTGCAGAGGTGCACTCCTGAGGTCTCCAGGGCGCCCCAGTAAACATGCCAGCCACAGTGGCTCAGAAGTAACGATGGCATTTGTGGCTCCTCACACCTGCACTCTTTTCTCACCCTGGCAGAGGCAGGCCGGGTACGGCCTGTTGTACCAGTGGGGAAAGTGAGGCCTGAACAGAGTAAATAACCTGCCCAAGGTCACACTGCATTTGTGGAAGAGTCAAGACTACCAGTTCTTCCAGGCTTTGTCTCCTGGCTCTCAAGGCAGAGACTGCGACCTCAGCTGCTTCCTCTGGGAATACAGAGATGCCTGTGGGCCAGTCTTTCCTGGCTTGTTCTCACTGTGCTCTTGGTGCTGGGTGTGCAGCCTACCCCATGTTACTTGGTGACAGCAGGAAAGCTGACTGGATGTGCTGATGGAGAGCTCTGTCCTGGGTGGTCACTACTTGCCAGTCCAGGGACTGAGCCAGCTGTCCCCTAAGCCCGAAGGGGGCCAGTCCTTACCTTGAGGATGTAGTGGTCCAGCTCTTCCCTGTCCAGCGGTCTGGCCACAAACACTTCACCAATGGAGTCATTGGTGGTGATGATCTCAAAGGCCCCAGCAATGTTGCCAGAAGCCAGCGAGAAGACCACCTGTTGAGAGGGGTGACAGGAGAGAGGGACAGGGGTGAGGAGGTAGGGAGGAGTGGTCTCAGGCCCAGGGGGCCTGCCCACCAGGCCTTGTTCAGCAAGGTATTGGAGAATAGTCTGTTTAATGCAGATGTGGTTTATGTCCCTTGAAAATGGAGAGGCAGGCCCAACAAGGCAGCTCAGTGCCTGCGGCACATTCCTGGGTCTGTGGGATGTCAGCATATTGGCTGGGGTCAGGAGACTGGGGGGTGGGTCCGCTGGCACTCATGTCTTCCCAAGGTGGAGGGGAAGGCCCACGGATTCCAACAGCTATTCCAACAGTTCTGTCAAAAAGCAACTACTGGATTCCCTCCTCAGCACAGAGAGGAGGCCCAGAAACATGCAACAGCTGGCTGAGGTCACAGCTCATAAATGCCAAATGGACTTGAACCCGCCTACAGCTGCCCCCAAAGCCAACATCCCTCAGCCTCCAGAGGTGTGCAGGCCATCTTCAAAACCTGCAGAAGCAAGCACACAGCTCACAGAGCAGACAAAAGCAGGGTTAATGTCGACGTACTCTATCACTCCCTCCACTTGTGCTCTGGGGTGTCTGAACTTGGGCTGATGGGGACTGCCTCCTGCAGTGGAGCTGGGAGTGGGAGCTGGACGAGTGTGTCCTCCCAGGGACCTGGGGCTGCGTGGGAAGGGTTGGTGTCTAGGCTGGCACATAGGAGCAAGGTGCCATGTGGTTTGTGGCTATGGGTATGGAGCCACCCGGAAGAGTTAACCCTTCTGCTGCCACCTGGCTGTGGGGGCTGGTCCGTAGCTGGCTTTTGGACTGGGCCTATTTGACCCAAATAGGGCCACTGGCATGCACAGCTCTAAGAGGCAGTATTGCCTGTCTCCCTGACCACAGATGTGGTGAGTGCAGGGGCCTCCGCTCCTGCCTGGGGCGGGATGGCATCAATGGCTGTGGAGACCCCAGTGGTGGGCTAGATCTTAGTTATCTCACTCGGTGCCCACCTGCCCGTTGCTGCCAGCATCGGGGTCCTGAGCCTTGACGGTGGCCACTCGCTGGCCCACGGGGCAGTCCTCGGGCACACTGACCGCTGAGTCAGAGGTGAAATCAAACCGAGGGCTGTTGTCATTCTCGTCCAGCACAGTGATGTAGACCTGAGGGGTAAACGTCATCAGAGACCCACCGCCCCTTTGCCCTCCCTGGCCCCAAACTCCGGGGCCCTGGTGTGGGTCAGTTCTGGTACATCAGCAAGCTTTTGGAGCCCACCAGGGTCAATCCTGACTTTACAAAGGAGACTCCAAGCCCATTTTTCCTAGCAGTTTGGCGAGGGCGGGGTGGTACTACACACACTCCATGCTGGGACCCAGGAGGACAGAAGCTCACAGAGCTGGTGGTGATAGGAGAAGTGGAAAGCAGGGCCCTGGCTAAAGGGGAAGGAGACTAGGAGTGCCAGCCTGGAGTCAGCATCACTTCCTGTTCTTCAACAGAAGCAAGGAATCCCAATTTTTAAGTGAAATTAGCTGATGAGTAATACAAATTGAAAAATACTGTTTCAGCCAGCTAAAATATATCTGGTGGCCAGATGTTGCTTGAAGGTCTCCTTGTTTGCAACCTCTGGATAAAATGGAAGGGTAGAAGGCCCAGAGCATAAAGGGTCCGTACGGGGGCTTGGTGGTCTGGGTGGGGAGAGGGACAGGTGGGACAGGGAAGCGAATCTCCATGGTCAGATAGAACCAAGCACATGCAGATTCCATGCCAACCGCACACTGTCCTGTGTCCCTATCTCGGGCTTCTTGTGGAGGGCACCTAGTGAGCCGGGAGAAAAGGCCGCTGTGGGCGAGGCCACAGGCCATAGAGGCTGGGACCACGGGTGCTGTTATGCTCACTGAGGGGCTTGCGGAGGCTCAGGCTTTACGAATCTCAGGGCAGGCCTCCTCCCACTGCCCCACCCCAGGCCAGACACCACTCTCTGCTCCCTGGACTTCCTGGACGCCTGCCTTGTCAGTCTGCACAGGGCCAGCTGCTGAGCCTGACCACACTGTAGAGGAAATTCCGTTTCATCCTCTCCCCCAATCGGGTTTTACTTCCTGGTTCCGGCCATGCTCCCACATCATTAGGCAGCTGTCAGACCTGAAGGGGAACAAGTCCAGGCTTCCCAGCAGGACCAACCCCACCATCTACCCGCTGTGCAATTTGGGAAAAGTTGCTCAACCGCTCTGATTTTCCATTTTCTCAGTGGAAAATATGAACGAGAACACCAACTGCACCGGGATACTGGGGGGAATAACTGCAAACAGAAAGCTCGGGGGTATGCAATACTTCCTGCCTGGCAGAAACCTCACTCCATGAATTTTGGTCAAGGAGTTCCTCAAAGTTCCTGCGCCTCAGTCTTCTCATCTGTGAGATGGGAAAACCTACGCTTGCCAGGCACTTGACAAATAAGGGCCCTACTTAACTCTTCTGAGTTTTGGGTCAGCCAGGAAGCCCAGGAGCCTCAGCTGGGAGCTGCAGAACACAGGCATCTGCCTACCATCTGCCACCCTAGGACTCTGCTCACTGGGTGCCCTCTGGGACCCCAGGGGGACAGTTCTCACAGTTCTCAGGAGAGAATCTGCAGATAAGCCATCTGACCTCTCCTCAATGCCCTCCCTCTGGTGGAGACCTTGTTCCTCACACCACGAGGCCTTTGCTCATGCTATTTCCTCTGCTCTTCCTTCTCGGCTATGTTAACGCCTATGCATTCTGCAAACCTCAGCTGTGTCACTTCCTCAGGGAAGCCCATCTCGATTTTGCTGACATCTTGTTATAGGCTCTCCTGGGGTCTACGTTTTTTGGTGTGATAATCTGACATCATGGTCCACATCTTCCTCCCCCATTCAAAGGTCTGAGGGTGTTAATCTAGACCTTTTATGGCAGAGCCACCACGCCCCCCCTTCCCCAGTCTGCCCCTTCCTGCCTGCCTCCCCACCCCTCTAGGGGCTGCAAAGGCTGCTGGGGACAGGGAGGAGTCAGGTGGAGGTGAGCTGTGGTTTGGGTTCCGGCCTGCTAGCAGAGGAAATGGTGCCACCTTTAAAGGGCCCCTCACATTGCCTCCACCCTAACACCTCAAACGGTGTTTGGGACTCACAGGGCTGGTATATCTGGGGCAGCAACTCTGGGAGCCTCTGAGAGGAAGCCAGGCCCTGTTTCTTGAAAGAGGAGGAGTGACTGTGGAAATAGAGGCCTGAGCAGGAGTGTGCACTCCGAAGCCCTCACCACGCGGAGGAAGCAGCTGCCTGGACCAGAGGGGCACAGGCAGCCTCCGGGGCATCCCCGCCGCCACAGATACCCATCAGGTTCCCCTTGGCCTCAACTCCCAGACTCCTCGTGACAACCGAGGGGTAAGGGACAAATGGGTGCATTTCATGGATGAAGGTACTGAGGTTCAGTGAGAGCCCTCCTTAACCTGAGTCTCTGACTCTTCGCTGGGAAGTCAGGAGGCTGGGCTGGGAGCTGCAGGACATGGGCACTTGTCCACCGTTAGCTGTCCTAGGGCTCTGATCTCTGGGACCTCTGGGGACCGAGGGAACTGTGTGGTTCATTGCTGCTTGTGGCTCATTCGCCACTGGGCTGGTCCCTTGGACAGAGGGGCCACGACCAAGGCCAGTGGAGCCAGGCGTTTCTGGGAGTTGGGGGGCTGAGGACCCAGGCAGCTGTGGTTGGCTCTCAGCCTGGATGCTGGGTTGGCTTCTACCCCTAGACTAATGTGAAAGGGACCCAGTGGGGAGTGGCAAAGTGGCTGTAACCAAAGCTGAGGAGGAGTTGACATTCCAGGTGGGCTCCAGATGGCACCTGACCTGACTGGACAGGGCTGAGGCCCATCAACTGCTAAGTGTCTGGATGATTGTCACTCTGAGGGACCCCCCTGGGGCCCGTTCCTATTCCAAGCCCTGGCCTGATCTCCCCTGTCTTCTTCTCCCTTTCAAACCGGCCTCCCCGCCTAGAAACCCTGTCTGCCATCTGGGAGCTGAGCGCCCCCCTCCCCCTGCCCCATTTCTCTCAGCACTGTCTGCCCTGCCTTTACCAGAGACTGGCCAAGGGTGGCAGGCTTCTCTGCCCTTCTCAACACTCCCCAGTTCCAGGCACTGTGCACCTCATGTCACATGTTTGTTATACCAACCTTCAAGAGAGGGAGGGGTGTCCTTTACCGACGTGGCCGTCACTGGGACAGAACAATAAGCCTACAGTACCCTCCTCTAGGACTCGCTCACAGAGGGCTTCCTTCCTATGATCCCCTGCCACCTTTGTCGCTACTTCTAAGGAAGGCAGGCCTGTGGGTATGACCCCCATTTTACACTCAAGGAAGGGAAACAGGTTAAGCAGCTTCCTGTGTCACACAGCCAATGTGGAGCAGACCTGGGATGAGGGCTCGGTGCCCTCCATTGTATGTTCCAGTTCATCCTTTGTTACTGCACCCCATACCCCAAGACTCCTCAGGGACTGAGGAGGACACAGAGGGCAGAGCTGGAGGCAGGGGACATGTCCAAGAGGGACCTGACTCCAGGTGGGAGAGTGAATGTGCGGGGAGGTGGCGAGCGTCTGAGTGAAGACCTGCTGCAGGCCCGTTCGTGTGGTCTCTCTCTGGGTAGGTGGGAAGGTCCAGTACCATGCAGGGCTGAGTCAGCACCAGCTATGGCCAACAGTCCCGGAGCCCTGGTCCACAGGTGACTCACCTTCTGCAGGCAGCATCGGCAGGGAAAGGGCAAGGAGAGAAAAGGCAAAGACCCGGTGGTTAGCAGTCTGTGGCTCCAGCAGGCCCCATCCCCCACAGTACTCTGTCGGGGATGCCACCCTTCCAACTAGCTGAAGTCTCACCCCTGGCCTGGGCTGCCTGCGAAGGTGTGGCAGGGCTAGCCCCAGCAAGGTCCTGGGGTCTCGTGACCTCTGCCCACTGCCTGGCCCACAGGTGGGGTAGCTGCTAAAGATGTGGGTTTGGAAATGTCCTGAGAGCTGATGGGCTGCATCTGTGGGGCTCTCACCAGGGACCCACTCACCACAGTGGAGTCCACCTTGGGACCCCCGTCGTCTGCCACCACTGTCAAAGTGTAGAAGTCGCCTTTCTCTCGGTCCACCTGGCCCTTGACCGTGATCACACCCTGCAGGGAGAAGGCCACATGGGCCAATGACAACATCACACCCATGAGGCAGACCCCACCCTGCCTCTTCTCCACCCCCAGTTGTCCCATGCGCCAGGCAAACCAGACTCTGCCCACACTCCCAACCTCCACGTCATTCCCTCTGCTGGTATAACTTCCTCACGGAGCTGACAGTCGAAATCCTCCTTTACTCTCGAATCATATGCGACCTCCTCTATGAAGGCTCCTAGCTCCTCCAGCCAGGTACGATGGCTCTCCCACCAGGGCTCCTATTTGGGTTCTCTCTTATACATCTATCGTGGCTCTTTTCACATCTTTCCTGTGCATCCTTAACTATGCCCACTTCCATTCCTGGCCTGAGAAGTCTCCAAGGCCAGGAGGGATCTCATTCATTTTCATGTTCCCAGTGTCCCCCGGAACAAGGCCTGGCACATGAAGTGATCCTTAGCTGTCTGTTTTCAAAGAAGGGATTCTGATAAGAGACACGAGAAACAAAGACGGAGGAGTGGATAAGAGAGAGTTGCACAGTCACCTAGCTTAGAGGAGCTACTGCAGGGACCAGGCGATGGCACAGTAGCGATGCAGCTGGACTCTTTTGTGTCCTGGGACCTCCCTCTGAAAGCCAGGTGTCTGTAAACATGATCCACCATGACTGAGGTAGCCATGATCCACAGTGGATCCTGACATGAAGACCCTGTTAGGGGTGCATGTCCCTCTCTCTCTTTCATGGAAGAAATAAATATATAAACTTGACCAGCTCTGAGGCCTAGTGGTAAAGGGGGCCAGCCTTGTGGCCTAGTGGTTAAGGCCTAGTGTGTGCATGCCTGCCTGAAGTCCCAGCAGAATAGAGGCGTGGAGGAGCAAGGATTTCAGGATGGCCCTGTCCCATTGGAAGGTGTTTTCATCCTCTTCCTTTCTCTGTCTCTCTTTGGTGAACGCATATGCCTTCCAGCAGATTTTAAAAAAATAACCAGAAATAGCTATTGCGATGAAGCACACAATTTACTAGGAGTTCTCAGAAAGTTCATAGAAAAAAGTATTATGAAAAAACTATACGTAGATTCCACTTATTAGGGGAAAAGCCTCAAAGGAAATTCACTAAATGCTTTGAGAAGTTAGACTGGCAGAAGAAGAATGACATTTTCTTTTTTTCTTCACAATTGTCTGACAACTTTGGACACACATATTTTAAACTGAAAAATATGTATAAGATAGAAAAAAAACAAAAAGTAGCAATGTATTAAAGTAATCTCTAGACTTCAAAAAAAACTATACATAGATTTAAAAATTTTTCTGCATGCTTAATTCTGTATTCCATGAATTTTTTGAAAGTCCCATCATCTATCTGAGCTTCCTACCAGCCAACATAAAACAGGAAACAGGATGACCTGTATAGCTTTCTGTGATACTGTGATATAAGAAATACATATTTAAACTCTGTCCCTAGTTCCTGGAACAGAGTTCCTGAAAACCTTGGCATTTTCTGAGCAGTAAAGGAGTCAGGAACATCTTTTGTTCTAATATTTGCCTTCAGCCCAGTTGCTGACACAGAGCTCCTAATCCCTTGGAATTTCCTGGGTGACAGGAGTGTCTTTTGTTCTAAGGAGGTGGGCTCTTGGGGAAAGACCAAACTGGGATTAGAAACTCGAACTTCCAGTCCCACGTGCCCATGCTCCAGGGAGGGAAGAGGCCCTAGATGTTGAGTTAATAATTGATCATGCCGATGGGATGATTTAGGGTGGTGATAAAAATCTCCTAATGGTGGGGCCTGGAGAGTTTCCAGAGTGCTGAACACATGCAAGTTCCTGGAGAGTGGCACCCCTGGAGTGGGTGTGGCAGCTCTGTGCCCCTCCCCAAACCTTGCCCTGAGCGTTTCTTTATCTGGTCCGGACCCTTTAAGGAGTCCTTTCCATGGGGGAGGGCTGTGGGAACATCTGATTGACAGCCAGTCATTCAGACAGGCGGGAAAATTACCCTGGGGCCTGCACTTGGCATCTGAAATGGGGGCAGCGCTGTGGGACCAAGGCCTGCACCTGCGGGGTCTGACACCAGCTCCAGGGAGACAGCGGCAGGACTGAGTTAACTTGTAAGACACCCAGCTGGCATCTGCTGGAGAAATGTGGGATTGCGACTGCAACGCCAGCTGCAACGCCAGGCACAGATGCTCTGAACTGAGTTGACTTCCGGGATTCCGAGCTGGTGTCCCGAGAGTTGCAGAACTGGTTGTTGGTGCAGAGAAAATCTCCACGTGTGTTTTGGTGACTGGAGGAGAAATATTCTGTATGGATGTAGAATATGGATGTAGAAGGGAAAGCAGTGGTGTTTCCCACTGTGCCCTTCACTGCCTAGTGACAAGGATACCAGGTTGCCTCGGTATAAACTTTATCTTAACCCTCCATATGAAAGGGATGTACGTGGCGACGGCTATCTCAAGGACACTATATGACAAAGAGGAGCCCTGTGCATGTAGACGCTCGATAAATGTTGGTTAGACTCAGAGGAATGGTGCTCCCTACCCCAGGGCAGCCCTCGCCGTGGTCCCCAGCGTCTTACCGTGAGCGCGTCTATCTTGAAGAGGGCTTTGGCCTGGGCGCTGGTGTAGGCGTCAAAGCGGTAAGTGATCTGGTTGAGGTTGTCAATGGAGTAGGCCTGCACCCGCACAATCTCGGTGCCCAGGGCCAGGTTCTCCAAGATGGCAGCCTCGTAGGAGGCGTTGGAGAACTGCACGGCCTCATCCAGCTCGTTGAGCAGAGTGACGTAGACGCTGCAGAAGCCCTGGTTGAACGGGGGGGCCTGGTCGGTGGCAGACACGTTCATCAGGTAGCTGGTCTTGGTCTCGTAGTCCAGGTAATCCACGGTGATGATGAGCCCCGTGCTCTCGTCAATCTCGAACTTCCCCTCCGCGCCTGACAGGATGCGGTAGTTCACCAGACCACCGTCCCCTGTGAGAGGACATGGACGCTGTGCAGCTCCCGAGAGGGAGAAGCCTGCCCTGTGACATAGCCAGTGCTGTCACTGAGGGGCGAGGTGAGGGACTTTGGCTGGCTCCCCCACATGCACTGCTCCACCTCTGTGGGTCAGAGCATCCCAAGAGATGTGGCAGAGGATGCATCAAGGTCAGAAGATAGCAAGGCCTACCCCCGTGTTGGCCCCCTTCTCTGGGCTTCACCTTGGCATAAGAGATATGCCAGTGGTGTGGACAGGTTGTTCTGGGAGTGGCTTAATGGGGGAGCCTGAGGCATTCAAGGATGATGAGGCCCCATGGGAGTGGGATGGGTG